GGAAAGGGGAGGATTATGTAAACACAGCACATATCTGAAATTTAAAAAAAAAAAAAACAGCTCTTGAAGTTTTGTTTTATTTAGTTATTTTATTGTCCTTTTTTTTGTTTTTTTGATACAGGGTTTCTCTGTAGCTTTGGGGTCTGTCCTGGAACTAGCTCTTGTAGACCAGGCTGGCCTTGAACTCAGAGATTTGCCTGCCTCTGCCTCCCGAGTGCTGGGATTAAAGGCGTGTGCCACCACTGCCAGGCTTAAAAAACTTAAATAAAAATGAAAAACAGCAAACCAAATGATACAAATGTTAAAAAGAAGAATGAAATGATTGGAATTAGAAAAATACTAAATGATTAAAAAATAATAGCGTAAGAAAGCATAACTTAGCCAAGTGTGGTAATGTGTTTGTAATCCTAGCATGTGGGAAACATGGCAGGCAGATCAAGAACTTGAGGCCAACCAGGTGATGAGATGGTCTGTAGACTCAGTCTCCCTTAGCAGTCTTGAGGAGCAGTGTCTGCAGCAATGTCTGCTGTCTGAACTTGAAACTCACCCCAGTGTCTTCAGCAGTAACCCCCCCCCCCTTCTGTATCGCAGCAGGGTGGAAAGCCATTAAGGCCTAGCTGTTTGCGTTGACCGAAGATGGAAGTGTGTCAGGAGCCTCACAAACCATCGCTGAACCTGGACTGTGACCACTGTGGTTTCAGAGGCACCGATTATGAGAACGTGCAGATCCACATGGGCTCCATCCATCCGGAGTTTTGTGATGATATGGATGCTGGAGGACTCGGCAAGATGATATTTTACCAGAAGAGTGCGAAGCTCTTCCACTGCCATCAGTGCTTCTTTACCAGCAAGATGTACTCCAATGTGTACTATCACATCACAGCCAAACACGCAGCCTCAGAGAAGTGGAGGGACAAACCAAAGGACCAGCTGAGCAAAGAGACCGAGACTGTGGAAAGCCCTTCCCTTCCCGAACACCAGAGCACAGCCTTGGACCCAGCAGAAGTGAGGCCCACTCCAGCTCTCCCCATGGAAACACAGAAAATTGGTCCGAGTTTGTCTCCAGAGCCACATAAGTCTGTTCCTCCTGCTCTGGAGCCTGAGGACTCTGGCCCTGTTGTTTCTCCTGAGCAACAGGCCCCTTGTCTTCCTGCTGAGGCCTCAAAAACTGCTTCTGTTTCTTCCCCTGAATGTGTCGACCCAGCCAGCATGGTGTCTGAGCTGCAGAAGCCTGCCCCTGCTTCCCCTGAGTCCGTCAAGTCTGCTCTTGTTAGTTCCAAACCCCAGAAGCACTCTCCTTTTGCCGATACAGGGGCTCCCCCTTCCACCTTGTCTCCAGAGTCACCAGTTCTGGCCACATCGCCTGAGCCTTGGGGGCCATCCCTAACTGCATCTCCAGAGTCTCGGAAGCCTACACGGACTGCCTCCCCTGAGCCAAGGAAGCCATCCCCATCAGAGTCTCCTGAACTTTGGAAGCCATTCCCTGCCGTCACTTCAGAGCCTCGGAGACCAACCCCAGCAGTATCACCAGGTTCCTGGAAGCCAGGTCCACCTGGTTCTCCTCGGCCTTGGAAATCCAGTCCTTCAGCAACCTCAGGACCTTGGAAGTCATCTAAACCTGCTCCATCTTTGTCTCCTGGACCTTGGAAGCCAATACCTTCTGTATCTCCTGGGCCTTGGAAGCCAGCTCCATCTGTGTCCACTGCATCCTGGAAGTCTTCAGTCTCATCTGGTTCCTGGAAAACACCCCCCACATCTCCAGAGTCATGGAAGTCTGGACCCCCTGAGCTCAGAAAGACAGCTCTTGCTTTGTCACCCGAACACTGGAAGGCAGTGCCCCCTGTGTCTCCTGAGCTTCGCAGACCGGGCCCACCCCTCTCTCCTGAGATCCGAAGTCCAGCAGGATCTCCGGAGCTCAGGAAGCCTTCAGGGTCCCCAGACCTTTGGAAACTTTCTCCTGACCAGCGGAAAAGTTCTCCTGCTTCACTGGATTTCCCTGAGTCCCAGAAAAGTTCTCGTGGGTCTCCTGACGTCTGGAAGTCCTCCTTCATTACAGAATCTCAGAAGCCTAGCGTCTTCCCTGAGACACGGAAACATCCTTCTGGCTCATCTGAGCCCCCAAAGGTGGCCTCAGACATATGGAAGCCTGTCCTCTCTCTAGATGCTGAGGCTAGGAAATCCACACTGTTTCCTGAGCCCACCAAAGCAGTCCTTCCTGCTTCTCCAGAGCCACGGAAACGTGCACTTTTCCCAGAGCCCCGGAAGCATGTACTTTTCCCTGAGCTCCCCAAATCTGCTGTGATCTCCAACGCTCAGAAGACCACTGAGCTTGGTGATGAGCTACAGCTGGAAGCTGTAGATGATGCTGCAAAATGTGATAGTCTGGTCCAGGAAGGGCTTCTGGCTGCACCTAAGAAACTGCTAGAGGATGCTCTATTTCCTCCTTCAAAGAAGCTCAAGAAAGACAGTCAAGAGAACTCGGATGCTGAGCTCAGTAGTAGTGAGTACCTGAGAACAGATTTAGATGCCATAGACATCAAGGGCCAGGAGTCCAGCAGCGACCAAGAGCAGGTGGATGTCGAGTCTGTTGACTTTGGCAAAGAGAACAAAGTGGAGATGAGTAGTCCAGAACAGTCCAAGAACGTACGTCAGTTCACCGAAGAGAAAGAGGCCTTCATTTCTGAGGAGGAGATCGCAAAGTACATGAAGCGTGGAAAAGGGAAATACTACTGCAAAATTTGCTGCTGCCGTGCCATGAAGAAAGGCGCTGTTTTGCATCACCTGGTTAATAAACACAATGTGCATAGTCCGTACAAGTGCACAATTTGTGGGAAGGCGTTTCTCTTGGAGTCTCTCCTTAAAAATCACGTCGCAGCCCATGGGCAAAGTTTACTTAAATGTCCACGCTGTAATTTTGAATCAAATTTCCCAAGAGGCTTTAAGAAACATTTAACTCATTGTCAAAGCCGGTTTAATGAAGAGGCAAATAAGAAGCTGATGGAAGCTCTTGAGTCGCCATTGGAAGAGCCACAGATGTGACTTTCAAACAACAGTACTTGCTCTGCGATGTTTGCCAAACTCACAGCTTGTCAAGTGGGCTAGTAGATGGTGTGTGTGTGTGTAGTGTTCTGTTTGTCTTAATAGTGTTACAAAGAGTAAGCGCTTGGTTATTTTTTCATGTGACCTCATTTATGTGGCTGGCTGTTTTCTAAGTCAATGCATTTCTATTAATGTATTCCAGATGGATATAGTGCATTACCCTTAAGCTTATTTGAGTCACAGTACAAGGATTGGGGGAGGTAGGCATTTATTAAGCAAGAGAATTTAAACCTATAAAACCTCCCCCCACCCCGTGTGTGTAATTGATTTCAGATCATAAAAATTATTAGGTAGAGGGCTCAGTGGGAGAGCACTTACCTAGCATGTTTTGCATACTAACTGTCCCATGGCTCAGTCCCCAGTAACTTTAAAAAAAAAAAAGGATTGAGAATTGAGCATGAAAAGTAAATCTGAGAAAATCTTTGTTAGCCTCAAGTGTACTTTTGAATGACTTTTATATCCTTTTTTCATGTAAAATTAGTTTAAGAATCTTTAATATTTTTGATGTTCATTAACTTTTATGTTGTCGGGAGCTGGAGTCCTTCAGGTCACGGTTTTCTGCTGAAAGGACAGTTGAGTAGGTATTTAAGGCAGTTTTGATAGTTTCTGCAAAGACTGAAAAGGCCAAGTGACTGAGGTTACGCTTATCTGTAGTTTTTTCCAATGGAGTCTTCCTTGTGGTGTCCCTGCCAGCTCACATTAACAGATGATCCTTAATTGCCAAACTTGTTAAGAGTTTATACCTCCTATTCCTGAGCCTGCTGGGGCTCAAGATCTAGGTAATGAGTAGGAGCTGAAAGTCTTCCAGATTCGGTTAAGAATTAAGAGCTAGTGAGGTAGTAGACAAGCTAGCCTCAGTTACATGAGAGGCTGAGGTCGGGATCACTTGAGCCCAGCCTGGGCTGCACAGTGAAACCCTGTCTCAGAAAGCGTTCCTGTAGATCATCTTGATTTTGTCTCACACAATTTTCTTATTGTAAATACCTTGTTTCTCGTCATAGATTGTTATTCTAACATATTTTGTTAAACGTGTATCAACCAAATTAAAAAAAGACTTTCATGTTAATATCTTCACTGGTGTTTTTTTTTTTTTTAAATAATTGCATTATAGCCAGACTTCTGTCATTGTGACAGATTATCTGAGGAGATAGGAAAGTCTTGTTTTGGCTCATGGGTTGGGGAGTTTCAGTGGCTTGTAGTCCCGTGGCAAGGAGGAAGGGCATGGCAGAGGAACACTGCTCACCTCATGGCTTCTAAGAGAAAGAGAAAAGGAATGGGGAAAAGACCTGGGCCTAGGTACATCCCTCAAAGGTACATTCCAGGGACGAACCTTCTGCCAAGTGTGCACCACCTCCCAATAGATATTCGGTTTTTAATCTGCTAGTGGTTTGGCTGGAGCAGAGTCTTCATGACCCACCCCGGAAAATGCCCTCAAGTACACTAGGTGTGCTTCACTAATGCCGAGAGCATCTCCATCCACTCAAGTCTCTGCTGTAGTTTGAGAAAGTACTAATTGTATTTCAGTGTTCCCAGTCCCAGCAAGAAACAGAACTTGGTGGCTCTGGCCATTTGGTTGTGACTGTAGAGTTAAGGAGAGACTAAACAGGTTATGGATTTTGCCTAAACCTCTGAACTGTAAGCGAGCCGCTTCAATTAAATGTTTTCTTTGTAAGAGTTGCCATGGTTGCCAGGTGATAGTAGCACGTGCCTTTAATCCCAGCACTTGAGGCAGAGACAGGTGGATGTCAAGGCCAGCCTGGTCTACAAAGCGAGTTCCAGGACAGACTGTGCTGTTTCACAGAGAAACCCTGTCTCAAAAAACAAAATCAAAACCAAAAAATAATTCAATGAAGGGACAAACCTTGGTCAGAAGTACACAATCATAAGGAAGAAATGCAAAGAACACTGAGTTATTTTTTCCTTTATAAAGAACACAAAAATGCCAACACATACCCAAGTGTCCATTAACAACAACAACAGAACTAACAACAAAATGAAGAGCGGCAGCCCCAGTCAACAGCCGCCTGTGGCCCATGCTGAGGAACCCTGGGAACAACGCCTGCACAGGACATCTCACTGAACACAGGAAACAACCCTTGATCTGGAGAACACGAACTCCCACGAGGCAGAAAGTGACGAGTTAGTCTTCTGCATCATCAAACTGTCCTGTTTCAAAGACCATCCTAGAATAATGTGGTATCAGTGGAGGGGGGTGGTGCCAGCTGGGGTCATACATCATGTCTCCTTGCGGGGCACAGCACACCCAAGGCTTAATCTCTTGAGACATGCTCCCCTGGATGTCATCGGCATCTGCAGACAGTTTCAACAGACAGGTTAGAGGAAGGAGGGAAATTAAACTGGATTGCACAAGAAAAGTTTAGAGGGAAGACTTGCAATTATTTTAATAACAGTCATAGACACACACACACACCCCTCCTCTCCTGAAGAAAGGCATTCTGAATAATTCATCTGTCCTCTTCCTTCTCAATGTTCTCTGAAGCAAAAAGGAAAACAAATGGATCACAGACCACTGCTGTTTGCACAGCTCAGCTTAAGACTTTCGGAGAGAATTTTCTTATTGAAACAAATCGACACATTGTAGAGTTGGTACAATTTGTTTTTAATATAGAAAAGCAGAAATTCCAGACCTTGACCAAAGATGAAGCTGAGTTCATGCATATGATCCCATTCCCATCATTGGCTTTTAGGGGAAATGGGAAGGTCTGAGTAGCTGCAGCTCAGCCCCCAGACACGCCCTACCTACCGTAAGGATTGCCTTGGTCTGCTCTCAGCTCCAAGTCCCAGTCCTCCTCGCTAAAGAGATCAGCAGCCTGTTCCATGGGTGGCCCTTCTGACAGCTCCCAGGCGTACAGTTCCCCATTGTCTTCCTTCTCCACAAAGCCATCCTCTTCCACACCTGGGCCCTCAGCATGGGCAGGGCTGCCAGTAGGGATGCTCTGGGCTCCTCTGGCTATGAAATCAATAAAAAGAAGTTTTTAAATTGATAAAACCAGAGGAGTTTTGCTCATATGGTTAGCCTTCCAAGAGTAGGTAAAAATCCACACATAGTCGTTAGTTACCAGAGCACTTACACTTATAAAATAAAATTGTGTTTTCAAAATAGGGTTGATCATTTTCTCCCAATAAGATGCTTGTCTTAGACAAGGCCATTGAGTACAGAGGGTCTTGTACAGGGGATATTTTCAGGTAGTTTATACGCCAGTGAACCCAAAAGCCTCTGGCAAATGATGTACTTTTCCAGTCAAGCCTGTGTTGCACTTTCCTCTTCAAAGCTCGTCAGAGTGAGTGCTAGTACAAAGGGCAGCAGAGAACAGGGCCTGCCAGTCCCCACACTCCTCTTCCTGAACTTGGGGAAGGACAATGGACCTTCAAGGCCAGGCGTCCTGTGATGACACAGGGCTAAGGGAAGGAGCAACTGGCCTGAAACAGCTGTGGTACGTCTCATAAACAACATGCGAGGAGCCTGGAATCTAGAACCTGGTGACCTAAGTTCAGATTTGTCCTGCCAAATACTAAGTGTGCCACTGGACTGATAGTTAACTGATTCACAACAGCTGAACACCACCAGACTGTAAGAGTTAATACAGCGAAATGGTAAATTTATAGTATAAATCTTTTGCCACATTTTAAGACCTTATTATGTGCCTTAAACAGTAACCAGGCTGTTGTGAATTTATTTAGGCAAAGAGGAAACACGGAGCTGTGCCTGGAATACAGTGAGTGCTTAGCACCCGCCAGTTGCTACAATTACACCCATCCTGGCTTCATCTGTAGACCAGCCCTACCCATTACAACTTTCTTCCCGTGTTCACTAAGCATGGTTAAAAAAAAAGAGGGGGGGGAATTTCTTACTTAGCTATGATTACACAGTGGCTAGTGCGTTATTCTCTCATGCAACCCTAGGGGGTACCATCAGCCCATTTTGCAGATACAGAAAGGCTAAGTGACTTACCTAAGGATTAAAAAATGTAAGCCCTTCAAGGACTATAACCTGGACTTGGAACTGAAACAATTTTCTACCTATATATTCTGTGTGCTTTTCAGTGCCTCGAGTTATTCCTCCCAGTGAAATGAGGCAGTCTGAATCCATACAATGTCGAGTACTTCCTTGAAGCCTCCAAATGAAGAGTTCCACCAAAACACTGGGCAGAGAAGGTAACTCACTGGCAGAGAGGACTGGCTAGCAAGAAACAGTGCATGAGGCTAAGGGATGATGCTTTTTTTTCTCTCCATCTCTTCCAACATCCACCCCAGGTCTCTGCCGTCTACTTGCCTAGTCGATCCATGGCCATCTCAGTCTCTGTCTCTTGACCAGAGAGGTCAGCTGCGGCAAAGCCAACCTGTGGAAGAAGAAATCATTACCCAGGAACTTGGGTATCTGGGACATGTCACTACCCAGACGCTCTGAGCCCAGCTTCCCATAGTGCTCTTCACACTTCGGGGTTAGCACCTGCTCCTGAGGACACAGCAAGGCTAGAGAAGCTGGGCCTGTAGGCATCACCCAGCAATGCTTCTCCAGCTACACCACTGGGAAAGCCTCCTTGTGGCCAACTGACAGCGGCCAGTTTTGCTCTCATCCCTGGGCCCTCTTCAGGAGTCTGGGTACAGGACTTCACACTCAAGACACTCTAGAGCCAATCTGGCCAGCTCCTGGGTCTCAGGGTTTCTGATTCCAGGTCTGTCTGTAAACCCTTCCTCTGTCACTTGGGTCTCGGGGTTTCTAATTCCAGGTCTGTCTGTAAACCCTTCCTCTGTCACTTGAGCAGCTCTGCCTTCGTCTCCTTTTCCTGGCTGGGATTGGTAGCTGTTTCCTGCACCTGCTACTTCTCTGCAAACCTCTTTTTCAGTTACTTAACCTTATATCTAACAACTCCTTCTTACATTGGTGTATGTATGTATGTATGTATGTATGTATGGTGCTGGCATGCATGTCTGTGTGAGGATGCTGGAA